ACTCTCCCAGCATGACTCAGCCTATAGAGGGGTCCTTGGCTGCGCCGGCTGAGCTCCAAGGGGGCAGAGCGCAGGCCGCCGGGGGAAGCCCTTGCCGAGCCGCTCTGAGGAGGGCCAGCGAGCCGAGCCCTCTGCCCTTCTGGCCATTCCCAGGGCAGCTGCGCTTGAGATTTCCTCTCGGGCTCAGATTCAGCCCTTCCTCCCGGCTGTAGGAGAAGTTTGGCTATTTTACAAGCCAGGGCTGCATCTTCCCCTGCCCGCCTCACCCGGGAGCCTCCTGCTGCCCTCATGTCCTGGAGCCGCTCTGAGGAGGGCCAGCGAGCCGAGCCCTCTGCCCTTCTGGCCATTCCCAGGGCAGCTGCGCTTGAGATTTCCTCTCGGGCTCAGATTCAGCCCTTCCTCCCGGCTGTAGGAGAAGTTTGGCTATTTTACAAGCCAGGGCTGCATCTTCCCCTGCCCGCCTCACCCGGGAGCCTCCTGCTGCCCTCATGTCCTGGGCCTGGCCTCGCCCCACAGGCCGCCTGGCTGCCTCCCTCCTCGTCCCCATGCCCTGACAGCCTCCCGGCCCTGGGCGTTGGCCCGGGGAGCGGAAGGGACTTTCCAGAGCCTGCAGCTTTCTCTCGCGGCGCTCGGGCCTGCAGTGCTCCCCCTGCCGGGCACCGCCCCCACTGCAAAGGGAAGCCCAGCGCAGGGCCCGAGCAGTGGGCAGGTGGCGCTCCCGCCAGGGGCAGCACACGGCAGGGAGTCCCTGGCTCAGGCTGGGCTCCAAACCCCAGCGAGAGAGGAGGCTGTGGAGCCTGGCTCCGGCATGATCCCAAATGTCCCTCCCCAGAGCCGAGCCCCGAAAGCTCCACTCGTGGATGGGAGTGGCTGCCCATGGAGCACGAGGAGCTGCCTCTCCCGGGCCGCCCGGCCTACGGGGGGAGAGGGGTTTGCCCATGAACCCAGCCAGGTGGTTCTGTTAGTCACGACGGTGCCACAGGGGTCCAGGCAGGGCCCGGCAGGAAGGGACCAGGGCTCCAGCTAATAGGAGCGAACCGTGGGAACAGACCAGCGTGGCTCTGGGCTGACACGGAGTCGCTGCGCTGCCGGGCTCAGCGGGGGCCAGTTCTGGGCCCCACGTTTCAGGAGAGACCCGGCGAAGTGGGAGACGGTCCAGAGAAGAGCAGCACGGATGCTGAGCCGTGCAGTGATGAGGGTCTACTAAAACGTGCCCCAGGAGGGGCGTCCAAAGGGCTGGGCTTGGGGAACGGAGAGGCCGTGGCAGAGAAGGCCCTCGCCTCGGGCTCTCCGGAGTAGCTCTCCGGTTCACTGCCCGGCTCTCAGCGGTGCCTGCGCAGGCAAGCTCTTCTTTCTGCTGCTCCTATATGCCCCGCTAGCTCGGCCGCCTTCCTCCCTGCCCCCGGCAGAGCGCCCACTCGCCCAGGGCGCCCGCGCCTCAGCCCAAAGCGATTCGTCAGGGGGGCAGTGGGGGGTTCACGCTCTTTGTGGGCGTGCTCAGTGCAAGCGAAGCAGCAAATCGGGGGAAGGGACACGACCATCCACACGTCCACCTGAATCGACTGCCTTGGATTTGTCTGAAACGTTCAAATGTGGAACCCTAGAGCCCCAGGGCTGCAGAGCCCTCAGGAGGCATCGAGTCCAGCCCCTGCTCACGGCAGGACCAGCCCAACGAAATCAGCCCAGCCAGGGACTCACACGCCCCTAGGGACGGAGCTTCCACCCCTCCCCAGGGAGCCCAGCCCAGCGCTTCCCACCCGCCCAGGGAAACAGCTTTTCCTAATCTCCAACCCAGACCTCCCCCACTGCAACGTGAGCCCATCGCTCCTGGTTCTGCCCCCATCTGAGAACAGCCTCTCTCCAGCCTGCTCTCAGATCCCCCCTCACTCTTCTCTGCTGCAACTGAACAGACCCAGATCCCTCAGCCTCTCTTTCTCGGTCATGCGCTCCAGCCCCCCCAGTATTTTGGTCGCCCTCCGCTGGACCCTCTCCAATGCGTCCACATCCTTCCTGGAGTGGGGCACTTTCAGCCAGCTGCTGTCCCTGGCCTGCGCTCACTGACGTGCTAGGGCCCAGGTCTTTTGGCCGTTGAGGTTTCAGCTCCAGGCTCTGGTGCAGATATGGCGTCTTTCGCATCCGCACCTCGCTCACTCAGCCAGGATGCAGCCCCTCCCCCCCCCCTCCGGGCACTGCAGCCTGCACAGCCAGAGAATCAGCGTCACCCACATGGCTTCACTGGACCCTCTGGAGCGTCCCTACAAATGTGCCTGTTGCCCCCAGCCCTTCCCTCTGCCCCGCATGCAGCCTGGCGCCGCGCGGCTGGTACCTTCTGCCCATCGGCATACACGGCATAGCCAGTCACTCGCACCCCGTTGGAGGAGCCCTCTGCGTCGATGGTGACAGGCAGCCAGCTGATCCCCAGGATGCCTGCCGAGGGGCCCGGCTCTGCTTGCACATCCAGCGGCGCATCGGGGGACCCTAGGAGAGACGGGGGAGATTTGCCTTTGATCTGTCAGGGCAGCGGCTCCGTCCAACTCCTCCCAGGAAGGAGGAATGCAGGAGGGCGGCTCCTCTCAGCCTCGGGAGACCCTCAGGGCCCAGCAGGGACCGCGTCCTGCTTTTGCTTTGGGAGCCTCCACGGGCAGGGATCAGGCGTTTGCCAAAGGCCGTGTGGATTGGATCGAGTTCTGCAGCCAGGCGCAGGGGTCCTGCTACTGCCGCTCAGCAGCTTGGCGCGGGAAGCGTCTGACTCGGGCAAACGACAGGAGAGGCCTGGCTGCGCTCGGCGCTGGGGCAAGCTC